GCTAAAAATGTTTAAATGTTAACGCACGACGCACGGCGCACGACACACGCCGACGGACGAAAACGGATAACAATAGGTCACCTGAGTGACTCAGGTGACCTAAAAAAGATGGATATAACCCTTACCAAAATTCAAGGTAATAAATTAGGACACATCCCATCCTTAAGGCTAACAGTAATAAATGAGCATTATGTCTAGATATACTGAGTATTAAACACCTACATATTTGTCTTGTATTCAATTTCATTTAATCTGTTGATATAGGGATGGAATACCTTAACTTCTTTATTTCTGATTCAGCATCCAACTTCTTCTAGCTTCTGAATGCCTGACTTTCCCAAAGCCTTTGGTGGCTAGCCCATTCCAAGGGTTGCCAGGTCATTCCATTATTTCAGGTCTTCAATGCATTTTACTCGAATGCCCCTTAACGATTACACCTATATATTCTATGTAAAACTCTGACCCACTGTTGTGGCCCTGTCCTATCCGTGGGGGTCTTGATTTTAACAAACTTGAATCTTCTCTACTTGAGGATACTTCTTTATTAATGTGGCTTAGATGTTCTTGAGTAGAAGATTTTTAAAGATATTTCCAATATATTCCTATGGTAAACTTTGACCCCCTGTTGTGGCCCTGCCCTACTCCAAGGGGTCATGATTGGAACAAACTTTAATCTACACTACCTGAGTATACTTCTATTATAATATGAGTAATCATGGTTTTGCTGTTCTACAGAAGATTTTTAAAAACATTTCCTATTATTCGTACGACCCCCTCTTTCGGCCCTGCCCTACCCCCGGGTGTCATGATATGAACACATCTGAATCTACAGTATGTCATGATGCTTTCACATAAGTTTCATCTTTTCTTGCCCAGTCTTTCTTGAGAAGATATTTAAAAGAAGCCACCAAATTTTCACGAATACTTTATTATCTCCCCTTGAAAGAGGGCGCGGTACTTCCTGTGAACAAACTTGAATTCACCCAAGGATGCTTTGTGGCAAGTTTGGTTGAAATTGGCCCGATGGTTCTTGAGAAGAAGTCGAAAATGTGAAAAGTTTAAGGACTACAGACGACAGACGGACGCCGGACACTCTTTGATCAGAAAAGCTTACTTGAGCCTTCGGCTCAGTTGAGCTAAAAATTACAATATGACAAGTTGTAATATTGTAATTTTGTATTTACTTCCATCCAGTAATTTCAAAAATTACAATATGACAGTAATATAATTCAATCACTAGTGAACTCTTGTTTGCAATATAAAAAAAATGATGCCAAAATTGTCATTTTTTTTAAATAAAGGGGTGAAAAATATAGGCTGGAATCGAGAGTTAGTGTGCGTAGTCCTTTGCAATACTCTCCCCATGGCCTTCTTTTAAAACTTAATGATGAACTAGTGATATTGTATGTTGGAGTACATTTTAGGGTGTTGTGAATTCTCAGACGCAGGTCTCTGGAACTAGGCAAGTAATTTTATTCAGTGATAAAACTCTACTGAAAGTAAATGGGTGACAATTTGATGTCAAAAACGACTGGGCATTAATATTGTTTCTTCTAGAACACATGGTTTTCCAAAAAGAAAAAAAAAATCGGGTATTTAAGGCAAGATATTTTCTCGCATGATTCTCGGACATCAAATCAACATTTAACAAACGAATTAGAGACAATGTTCAGCAATATCCCTCCTCCTCTCCCTTCGACCAACGTTTAATATATGTCAATTTTTGTAAAGTTGATATCTGTAATTTTAATGTGTACCAGGGCGTTGAATATAGTATATCCATGTTTTGATAGAAATTTCCCTTCTAAAAATTGCTATTTTGTAACCATGGCAACACTGTTCATTGAAATAAAAAAAAACTAAGATAAAGAATTGTCTTTCTTAGTACACTCTAAAAGTGTACCAAAGAGCTAGGTTCACTTTATGCATAAAATGGCCCTGTCCTTATGTCAATTAATTGACTATCACCCTCTGTCCCATTTCATGTATCAAAATAAAGTAGAGACTTGGTGCTTTTATTTCTTGTAACAAAATTTCTTTTTGAGAATCCAGGTATTGAAAATCATGCTTTGAGAAAATGCAATGTTTTTGAATTTTGCAGAAAACATGCGTATTTGACTACCTTCAGCAAAGAAATAAAATATGAGCACAGCCCACCATCCAAAAATTAAAACATGTTTTGTGATCTTCAGAAACAGATCTTTCATTATGTAATTGCATATTTTGGATCAGAGGTTGTGCTCTATATGAAATATCGAAAACATACCTCAACTTTTGGCCATTTTTAAGGGAATTTACAGACTATGGGTAAAATGACGCATTTTATGATGTCATAATGCATTGACTAAAGAGAAAATTACGTCATGTTTAATAGATACACGGTCAGCAAGGGTCCAAGTTATAGATACTGCATTTTTAACCAAAAATGAGCAGTTTCGATTTTTCAGAAATTCTCAGGGCCAAAAAAGGCCCAAAGTGACTCTTGCTCTTTTATTGAGTCAGGTAAAAACTGTAGGAGGGAAAGCAATTTGTAAATTGCTTATACTTACGACAATCAGACAGCTGTAAAGCCATTGTGTAATTGTATAAACTCTTTCTATCAAATAAAATTGACCAGTATAACTGAAAACTAATTGTTTGCATATTTTGTTTTAATAGTATCTCTAAATCCTCTGTTATGGAAACATTATTTGTAAATTGGTTTGTATTTCTGTGATGTAAAATAGTTGAAAACACATATTTTGGCAATGATGGATCTCATTCGTTCCCATGGCAACCACGAAGTCATTTTACTCTGCATAATTAAATACTTTAATATTTTACCTTTCAGAAAATGTATAGGTTGCTTCATGTAAAAGTGACTAGAAAATGTTAAAATTTCAATTTGAAATTTTTATGCAGTTTTGCAGAAAAAATGCAAAATCTCTGGTAGTTAAAGGGTTAATATACTTAAATTAGGGTCAATGGTTTGGCTTGCTAAATCAATAAACCTAGATGATATGGGTAGTGATTTCGATGATATTACACAAAATACCCTTAAACGAAATGTTTAAAAATTTCAAGCTGTGAGGAGCATTAAACTACCTCAAGAAACTTGCAATACATTCTGTCCTTAGTTACTCCGTCGCAGCTACATTGAACAAGCAACTGATCGCGATGCACCTATCAATTGACAATATATAGTAAAATTTGATGCAGTTTTTATACAGTGTGAGGAGGATCGAGCCAAATTTCCATAACGAAAAATGTATTTCATAATAAAATTAAAATATTATAATAAATTATGCTGAATATAAAGAAGCCATTAACTTAAGTGATGCTTTTTCATGTTTGAAGGTAATCGAGGGACATAAACTCAAAGGAAATTATTAGGCTTTTACACATAAACTCTATAAAGTATGAAGAAGTGCTAACATATTTGAAAAGGTTTATGATCCAGATGAAATTGAAATTTAATGGAGTTGACCAGCAATAAATCCAGCACGCGATCATACAAATATAGTTTGAACAATGAAATAGAACAATATGTATAGGATTGTCACAAACTACAAAGGGTGCTTAAAATTCTTATACAGTAAAACTCGGGTATAGCGAAGTCCTGTGGACCTGTGAATTTACTTCGTTATATCCGTAATTCGTTCTATCCGAATAACGAACTCGTGTAAGTATTTATAGCGAATTCGCAATATACCCCTTTTCTCTCAAGTATTACTACCGAATATGTAAGGGAAGCAGTTATCATAAAACATACATTGGATAACTACGGTTTTATTATGAAATTTATTTAAAAATACTTAATGAAAATAAAGTCATTTCAATATATCAGATTTTTAGATCTTTGAAAATCCGTTATAAAAGATGTAAATTACATTATTTTTAACCTCTACGCGACTCATAATCATTTAGCTATATCCATAAATTCGTTATATCAGAGTTCGTTATAACCGTAAAATTTTATACAGGAATTTGTTGAGAATTTTGCCTGGGATCCCGAAAAACTTCGCTATATCCATAAATTCGCTATATCCGTGTTCGTACCAAACGAGTTTTACTGTAATTGGAACTAGAACTATAACTTAATTAATTCCTTGAAAAAATGGAATTCATAGTTGACCTCAATATTAATTAAAAGCATATTTGCTAAAGTCTGGTGACTGCCGCAACAAATGACTAGTCTATATGAAGAAAACATACTTTCACCCTGTCTGATATCCGTAAATAAAAAGGAATCGCCAGTTCTCATAAATTATTTCTTTTCAGTAACTATTCATCGCCAATATTTTCATTATGCATGCTAACTGTACTGAGATTTATAGATGCACACTACAAGATCTAGTGTTAGAATATGCATTGGACGATATAATTTACTTTCTTCTTGAAATATTCGTCCGGTAGAGTTTGTATTCTTTGATTATTTAGGCTTGAAACATACAAATGCATGCTTTCATAAATCAACGACTGAATTTGTTTTCAATAATACTGAAAGCTTCATCGAAAATAAAGTTGTTTATATCTATTTTAGAATTTTAGTATCAACTCGACAAATCCAAATATCCCATAAATATTCCATAATTTGCATATTATCATCAAAAAGTCCTAACAGTTTTTCCTGAAAGATTGTAATTTAGTATTTTTGCTATATTCAATCTGACCAGTGCATAAACTTACCTTGATTTATGCAATGAACTAATTTAAAATAACTTGTTAAATTGCAACAAATATTTACCATACAATGAATTTTCATAGATAGTAGATTTTTTCACAGTACTCTTTGTGTTATTGTACTTAAATTCGTATGCAAGTGAACAACTCAAAGAAGGAAGCATTATCAAAATAGATAAATTTCAACAAAATAAAATGCTTTTAGATGTGATAAGATGTTATAAATGAAGATATTTTTTCTTCTTTTTTTTCAACTAGATGAAAAATCGCTTGGGAATAAACAGGATGACACACGAATATAAAGAAAGGTGATTACTTTATTGAATACTTAAACTTGCCATATTCTTCCCCCATGTCCTTAAACTGTATCCTTATGTTGTATACACTGTAAATGTCACCAAGATCCACGTACCACCAAGCCCTATCATGTTGACTACTAGAACCAATCGGATCAGTCATTGCACAAGTAGCAGGATTCCCATCCACAGCCATATTTGCTTCAGAACCAATCCAACTTAAAGTTGTACTTTGAAATGCCGGTTGATCGTGAGATAAAACATCTAGATTAATCAAGTTGTGAATGAGGTAAAAGTATAATTAAACATGCTTAATCAACCTGAAATTCTAGTTTATGCCTAGATATTTTTAAAAGTCTTTGAATATAGCACATTTTTGAAATATTTCAGCAAGTATTACAGTTTTAATAAAATGATTTAAAACAGATTATTCTAAGCTTCTTTTCCTTCATTCGATTTAAAATATACGATTTTTTACGCAACATACGAAAACATTACCCTTTTATCAATCTGGTTACAAAAAATATGCATGTGAACACAGAATAGAGAATGTTTTGATAAAATGTAAAACAACGAATGTAATTATTTTCGTAATCGATGAGAAACACAATTCCATGTCCTCGACGAAATTTTCATATTTCAAATTAATGTATCATGATTACTTCTACAACCTCTCTCTCGGGCATGTGTGCGCTCTATATCTAATTTTTCATTCTTTGATGTGTAGAAATAAATTTTCATTTACCCTATGGAGTACACGGCGTTTTGAGGTTAAACGTATCTAGTTATGCACTTGATCAAGAACTAAATTTCAATGATATCTGAAGAATTATTTCTTACCATATATGTAACTTGAAAGACCGCAGAAAAACTTAAGGGGTAAAGATTGACATCAACAAAGAGTGTATGAAGTCTAGACCGTGATTCTCAGATTAAAATTAGGCACATCTAAGTTTCAGGTTTAGGACAGATAATACAAACAAACATTTATCAAAATCTTGAAAATAGCAAATTAAGTCATGTTTATTTAAGTAAAATGTTTAAGTTTAACTGCAAAGATTTTCATTTTTCATTCAAAGTTTCACAATAATTTGATTTAAGGATGGATTCTTGTCGGCATTTTACGTCGTCAATGAGACGCCATACATTATGCAGATCTCACAATGCAAAACTCGTATTTAATCGTACATAAGGAAATACTATTGATTAATTTATTAGTTTAAGTTATGTTCAATCTAACTCTATTTGAATGAATATTTTTTTTTCCATCAATATTTCTTTATTTTGCAACAATCGCCATGAAATTTGCAGTTCGGTAGCAAGAACAAAAACGGTTGTTGCAATTTGAATCATATTTCTTTTAACCCGAACAAATACAAACACACTTCGTAAATGCAGAACCTATGTTGCCTCGTTTGATGTCATGTCGTGCGCAGTAAATTTTGAAATTGAATAACATGCTGGTTTTCATTGATTTCTAGATCTGTTTATAGATCTGTTTATATAATAAAATTGGTCTGCTTATACCCAAGACTAGTCAAAATTTGAAGAGGGTATATTATCATTATGTTAAAATCAGTTTTATGAATCAACAAAATAGTATTTTTTTTTTAAATATGATTACAATTTTTATTTCTAACTAATTTGTTCAAGACTACACCAATCAAAGTTTTTGAAAAGTAAGGTGTCTCGTATAGGTACAAATTAATCAGAATGCTGAAAATTAACTTAAGATGTGAAAATATCAGTATTGATACACACATATACATATTATAGTCTGTAGACTATAGTCTAATAAATAGATTGAGAAAAATGAAACATTATATGTTACAAAACAGATTGAGAAAAATGAAACATTATATGTTACAAAACATACATGTTTTTCATTATTTTTTTTCTTTTTCTGTTTTTTCAGGATTAAAAAATATTTATGTATGTATGAATTTTCACCATAATAAAAGAAATAATACATATATGATAGAGTCTACTATGATTTCTTCATTCATTCACAATAGATGAGATTTGTTGTCTAATCTTTTAATCATTTTTCATTAATTTAAAAAAAAAAATAGTCTAAGGAATGTTCATGTTTAAAATTGTAAGGAGAAAAAGAACCCTACTTTACCTTACATTTCTTAATATTTTAGAAATAAATTATTTATTATTTACAACAAAAATAGGTCAAAAGGTATATACCAATCCAGGCATCCATTTTTTGTTTGTATCACCTGTCCTTTAATACAGGTAATAATCGTCATTAATATTTTCGGCAAAAACAACAGTTGTCACATGATACATGAACGTATTTAAAAAAATAATATCGACGACGTCTATAGTTTTGTATGCTTGTGATTAAAAAAAATGTATTATTAGCCAAAATTTGTGGAAATATCATATAGCAAAATTAGATTTAGAATTGTCTTTTAATCTGCTCTTTTCCCATCAATGACGTTATTATCAGTTTTCCACGTATGTCTTTAATGCTTATTAATTTTATGAATGCGAAATGTTTGTCTCAAGTCTAAGACTTTTTCATAATCCTTGGACCTGATCTCATAGGAGGGATTTTTTTTTAATTTATGCATATGTTTATTTACTACAAGTGTTCTGCTTGAAAAAAGGGAATGATATATAATTTTTGTTTAAATATAAGCAATTATTTCAATGGCATCTTTTTTTTCACAACGTTTACATTTTAAGTTTTCCAGAAAATTACGTTTACATTGTTCTTTTCGACTCTTAGTTTTCATTATTAGGAACTTAAAAGGGAGATGGCGAAAGCAGAGGTATCTGATTTTCACCGCTTCTTTAACGATATAAATATGTAATCTTTATTATTTCTTAGTAATAATACAAATAAAACTGTATTTATTCTGTAATAAATAGTTTATTTCAGAATTAAAAGAACGTGTTTACTTTTTCATCTTGTGTTAAAGCACGCCATACATGTACAAAATTTTACATGTCTCAATTTCCACCATACCATATAACAGCATTTATATATCATATTATTCATAGGAATAACTCATATGCCAGAAGATTGAGGTAAAAAGAGAAGATTTGAAAGAATACCATAATTTATGCATAAAAATTTTGAATTGTAATTTATTCCCAATTTTCTCAGTGTAGGAGTGTAGGACTGATGAAATGTTGTAGAACAAAACAAAAAAAAATCAAAAAAAAAAAAAAAAAAAAAAAAAAAAAACAAAGAGAGAGAGAGAGACATACCGTATCCAGATGATAGAGTAATTCCACTAAAGACAAATAGTGTCCAAAAAGTGACCATGATGGATAGACTCACACTGATATCATTTCACGCCCAAATGCAACAATAGGAAAAAAAAGGGCAAAATCACATACGGAAAAAATTATATCTATGGAGGACAATATTGCAAACAATTAAATAAGGAGGTTTAAAGAAGAAAAATGAACGATATGACAAGGTTCCTTAAAATTTTGTTAAAGCTATCGACTGGATAAGGTAGCAGATTGTTGCATGTGTTCATGTGTTTAATACCCTTTTATTACTTTTCGTTTTACAAGATCTATGTTGTCTCTGGAAACCAGGTCTTCCAAAAATCTGTTGGAATTCAAAAAAGGAACTTACTGTTCTCATTTATTAAAGGATCTGATTTTACATTCCTACTAAGCAGATTTTTTTTCGAATACTTCTACTTGAGAATTGCTATGACCTTCAAATTGACAGATATCATCTGAAAGTCCTTTTATCAAGAAACATACCTTACTTTCATTGAATGGTAACTAATTGTGTATTTATTAGAGGACCTCTTATTACTTTCCTCGGAAGTAGAATTTATTCATATAATTACATGCACTACATTGCCTAGAAATTTAACTTCTGAAACATAATCCTCCTAAGTGTTCATGGTTTTCTTCACCTTACAACTATAGTCCTGCTGGACACCTCATTACTGATGACGTAAATATAAATAATAATGAGGACCTCAAATAACTGAATTTAAAGGGCAAAATTTACGGAATCCTGATCTTTCAACTGGCTTCAAAATTTAAAAAAAAATATAAATTATATGATAGATCACGCCAGGCGATTAGTTACACATCAGAAAAGACAATGACACTTTGGAAGAATGGATTAAAAATTTCAGATGGATGTTGAAATCTCGCAGTAAGCGATTTATCTTTCCTTCTGACTTAAATAAATCAGACGCAAAGAAAAAAAAAATAAGATAGATTTCACTAGTCCAAGTTGACGAAGCACATAACATTATTGTCTTTATTTGTAAGGCTCATTATTTATATTGTTATTTTAGAGAAACTGTTATTTAATTCTACTAGAAGTAATCAAACTTATACCTATCTCCCTTTCTGAGAAACAAATTCTTCAAACTTATATGTCACTTCAAAATATGTTTAATCAATCTCAACAATAAACATGAATTTAAATTACTATACCTATACTAGATTCTTAACATTTATAGTAAATATGTTACAAACAAAGATACATAGCGGGTTTTAGTAAATGTTCTACCAGGATTTTACCGTTACGGAAGTTCAGTCGGTAGAGCGCTCGATCTGTGATCGGAGGGTCGTGGGTTCAAACCCCGGCCGCGACTGACCTAAGAAAAAAAAAAGGTAGCAACTGCTCCTTCGCCAAGCGCTCGGCACTTCGAAGTGACAGTTGCAGTTCCTTCGGATGAGACCTTAAAAACCAAGTACCCCTATCACGGCAGGCGTTGGAAGAATAAAGATCCCTTACTGTTTTATGGTCTTTAGTGCCGAGTAAATGTCTAAATTTGAAGCCCTTCACCGGTATAGGGTGACGTCGCTATATGAGTGAAAAATTCTTGAATGAAACAACATAAAATCAATCAATCAATCTACCACGATCTTTCTTTACCTCTCACTAAAATATTAACAGCAGTGAAGGACAAATTTCAGGAGTACTGTACAGCAATATAGTCGAGAAGTGGTGTAAATCAGATGTTGATACTTAAAAACTCTATGGAACTTTAAGAAAGCTTGAAATCACAGAATTTGACCAAATCAATTACATGAAACGTACGCCTTTTCAACAATTTATACAGCCATTCCCCACGATGATTTAAAGTACACTTTTTGACATCACAAACAACTGCTTTTCAATAAAAATGGGACTCTTATATTTACTTACCTTGTCATCGGTCATTTGCAAAATTATTTCGCTAAAACATTCTT